CTACGATTCGGTGTCAATCGAGACATTTCCCTGCTGGCGAAGCAACCGCTATACGGGGAACGTAGCCAGCTGGAACCGCTAGCTTTCACAGGGAACGTAGCCAGCTGGCGGTGGTTTTAATTAAGAAATGACATGTTGCACAGACAAGAGGTTTTCTGTGAACTTTTTATTCTATTTTTTTCCTTCTTTAATTAAAACCACCGCTAGCTTTCACAGGGAAACTCGAATCACCAAAATGTCCTTCGGGACATCTGTTAAAAGGATTGAGCGATGCAGAGAAAGAGAAAAGTTTTTAGCATGGCCCCTGCGCAAGGATGACACCCATAAATCGAGAAAGGTCCAGTCTTTTTCCCAAAAAAAAAAGAAAAAAGATGCCATGCACCGCATTCTTCGGAAGCCGGGCGCCACCGCACCAAAGTGGATGGCGGCGCCAACCAAAAGAGAGAAAACGTCGCGCTGGCGGTTAAGCAAAGCTTGACGCGCAGTTCTTTTGCGCCTCGTCGAAAAGAGGCTCGGAGGTAGTGGAGGCTTAAACTCGAAAAGAGGCGCGTTTGTCCTATGTCGGACCAATCTATCGACTAATTAATAATTATTAAATTGACCGTCTTCATGTCAAGCATCCAATCCCATTATCCAACGTTTCCAGTCATCCACCCGGTAATGCAGTTACACGGCACCGATCTCGACCAACCGATCAATTAATCCATCAATCAATAAATCAATCGATCGATCAATCGAACGCTCTAGAAATCGATCAATCAATAGATCAACCAATCAATAGATCGACCGATCAATAGATCAACCAATCAATAGATCAACCAATCAATAGATCAACCGATCAATAGAGCAACCAATCAATAGATTAACCGATCAATAGATCAACCAATCAATAGATCAACCGATCAACAAATTGGTCAAACAATCGATCGAGTATCTGATCGATCAATTGCTCAACCAACCGATCAATCAACCGATCAACCAACCGATCTAGCAATCGATCAATCAAAGGATCAAGCAGCCCATTGATTAGTCAATCGGTCAGTTAACGGACCAATCAACCGATTGATTAGTCAGTCGACCAATCAAGCAGTTAGATATTGGAATTTCACAGATTCGAAATCGGATGTTATGAAAGCTGTAGGCGCAAGATAAATATCCGTGAGGTGGTTGCATGAACATGGATGATACATTCAGGATGCACCGTACCTGACCTCTCTTTCCATGTGACTCGGGATGGATGCTAACGGCCCTGGGGCTGCTAACAGCCAAACCTCAAATTGACGCTCCAGAGGTCTTTGCGGACAAAAAGGAAGTCACATCGATGGATCAAAGAGTTGGTCAATCAACCGATCAACCAGTCGATCGATTGATCAAAGAGTTGGTCAATCAACCAATCAACCAGTCGATTGATTGATCGCCTAATAGACCAGCCAGTCCATCGACCAATCAACTAACCAATGAGCCAAGCAATCAATGCCGATTAATCAATCAATCAGCCAATAAACGAGTCAGTCGATTAATCGATCAGCAATCGGCCATCGAACAATGGATCAAAATCAACCCAAAACTTGCCCCATATGCTGATGGAGCGAGTTGTATCTTCTAATCCATGGATAATCATCCAATCAACCAAGCAGTCAATCAACCAATCAACAAATCAACCAAGCAACAAATCAACCAAGCAACAAATCAACCAATCAATAACTCAAACAATCAATCAACACATCAACCGATCAACCAAGCAACCAATCAACCAATCAACCAATCAACCAACCAAGCAGCCCATCAACCAATCAACCAATCAACCAATCAACCAATCAACCAATTAATCAATCAATCAACCAACCAACCAATCCCTCCACCAGTAGAGAAACTTTTGAATCAACCAATCAACCAATCAACCAATCAACCATTAGATCAATCTACCAGCCCATCCTGCTATTTATATACCTGTTGATGGTCAACCAATCATTTTCCATCAATTAATTTTACCCTGACCATCAGATGATCAACCATTTGACGGTGTGGATTGCGAGATAGATAAATAGATTGTCAAAGTCGATCCTATGGCTCCGTTGCCTTCCGGTCAAGCATGTGCAACTCTATGAAAGGTTTTGCCGGATCATTTTGTCAAAACATTTAGCGACTATGTGCATTTCGTAAAACTAATCTGGCCGTAATTGCAGTCAAATTCATGGATCGCCTCAACTTGGAGAAGGGTTGATATTGGCTTCTGGGGAAGCCTACTCCTGCATTTTTGAATTTTCCCATTCCGGGCCTGATCAGTGCGACTACTTCCTTACCTCCTTCCTTCCGTAAACTAATCTGGCCGTAATTGCAGTCAAATTCAACGACTACTTCCTTCCTTCCTTCCTTCCTTCTGATCGGAAGTTGGGTCTTTAATCAAAATTCCCTTTATGAGATGTTTGAAGTTCCATGTCTCCGAGAAAATCAGTGTTTTGCTGATTTGGTTGTTGTCGGGAAATCATCATCATCAACATCATTATCATGATCATCACCATCATCATCATCATCGTCATCATTAACATCATCATCATCATCATCATCATCGTCATTCATCACCAATATTTTCCTTATCATCATCATCATCATAGTCATCATAATCATGATCGTGATTGGTTTGTGGTGATTGTGCTCTGTTGTTGCAGTTTCATTGACGGTGACCAAGAAGAGAGGGAAGGAGCGGAAAGAAACGATGGTGGGCAATGTGAGGGAGTGCTTTGACAAGTACGAATCACTCTACGTGATTGGGTGGAAGAACATGCGCAATACAAAGATGAAGGAGCTGCGTGATCAGTTCTCGTCCACTAGCAGGTACGTACATACGTCTGTACGTTTGACGGTTTGTTCGATCTTCGATCTTCTCCTCCGTACAATGAAAAACGAAAGGATAAAATTTTTCTCTTGCATTCATTTTAAGGATATATTCTTTCTCTTTTTTCAGTTTAAGGATAAAATCTTTCTCTTGCATTCATTTTAAGGATAAAATCTCTCTCTTGCATTCTTTTTTCAACCCCCAGTAAATCGGTGCACATACTGTAGGGGTTGTGGCGGTTGTAGGTGTGCGGTAGCGGTTGCTTCTTTCTTCTCCTCTGAAGCCTCCATTGCAAATTGTACCCTTGTATGATTCTAGGTTGTCATTTGGTTGCGGTGTTGTGGAGAGCACAGAGAGTTTTCTTGGGCTCGAATTAAGGTGCTGCAGATTGCCTTCTCCGCTAATTCTAGGTGTCATTTGGTTGCGGCGTTGTGGAAAACACAGATTTTTCTTGGGCTCGAATAAGGTGCTGCAGATTGCGCTCGGCAGGTCACAAGCGGATGAAGAGAGAGAAGGCCTCCATAAAGTCTCCGAGGTGAGTGGTCCTTCAGGATTGTGTTCGTGTCACAGGAGAACTGCAGGATTGTGTTTTTTGCCCCCTTATTTTACGAAAAGGGGTGTCCCTCGCCCTCGCCTATGCCCCCCTTCTGCAATTAAACAAAGTTCGTTTTCTCTGTTGGGGCTTTGTCCTTAGTCAAACCCCCAGTACCTTTCAGCTTCCCCCTTGCCGAACGTATCTGCGGCCAGTTGCTGATGCTGCGGTAGGGCAAGCCGAAGAAAAGGGCTGCCTTTGCCATAAGGGCAAAAAAAAAAAAAAAAAAAAAAAAAAAAGACGAGGGGAGGGTGGGCGCTCCTGTTGAGAGCACACATCGGTATTCAGACGAAACACGCCTGAAAGAGAGCGCTGCAAAACAACGAACGAGAAAAAAAATAAAAAATAAAAATGGAAATGCACCTCACACGCGGTACAAGAGAAAAGTGGAATGGTACTCACCTACGGCCTCGCTGCGCTACCACCCACTGTACGAAATGAGATTGAATCTTTCGCTAGAACATGGAAAGATGCACTGCCATATTTTTTGTCTTTTGTGCATGTGGTGAGCAGTTGAGCGAGCCTGCACCTGTCGGGTGCGGCAGTCCCACACCCAGACGCAAAGTACTTTAGTGTCGGACCTCACGGTCGCATCACGCAGGAGTTTTAAATCGTTTCAGCAGAATACCACTCCGGCCGTGCGCGCCAGCTATACCCCTCGCGGCTCCCTGCGACAGGACACAGATCCCGCGAGGTACAAGTCACCTCTACCTGAGGGGCTGTCACCACCCTTAGGTAGGCGTATCCCTGCTGAGCTACTGACCCACGTGCGAAGGCTCGCTCTACTGCTCATCACATGCACAAAAGACAAAAAATATGGCAGTGTATCTTTCCATGTTCTAGCAAAAAATTCAATCACGATGGCGCAATTTGAGGTCCAGCTGTCAGCGACAATGGGGGGCACATTGTCAGTGGCGATTCTTCACACACAAACGTATCTGCTGCCCATGCTTTTTTTTTTTTTTTTTTTTTTTTTTTTAGACGCCCATATTTTACTTGCTTTAATCATTGTGTTTAGTTTGATTTTGCAGACTCCCCCAAAACAAAATACGATGGTCTTCAGAATTTTTTTTTTTTTTTTTTTTTTTTTTGAGTGGCCATATTTCTTTCCTTCTTTTTTTTTTCTGCGACTTTCCAGACACCAGAAAACTAAAAACGCTGGCAGACAGTTTGCTCTTCCCATGTGCCGACCCTGTGGGGCCACCTTCCGGCATGCTTGGAGGAGGTAGAGAAAAAGGCCGGGAAGGGTTTGTTTGTGTGGCTGGCTGTGGACAGCCCACACTCTGTCTAGCTTGCCTTTTTGGCGTGTCCCATTGTCCCATTATCCCGTTGTCCCATTGGTCCATTGTCCCATTGTGCCATTGTCCCATTGTAACGTTGTCCTCTTGTGCCATTGGCACATTGTACCCTTGTCCCATTGTCCCATTGACCAATTGTCCCATTGTCCCTTTGTACCATTGTCCCATTGTGCGATTGTCCCATTGGACCATTGTCCCATTACACCATTGTCCAATTGTCCCATTGTCCCAGCGTCCCATTGTCCCATTATGCCATCAGTGTGTCCCATCGAGCGGAATTCGATCCGTTAGTTCATGGTTTGTGTTGGCTGTGGAAAGCGCACTTTTGTGACACAAAATGGATTGTGTAGCTTGTAGCTTGTAGACCTGCCATTTTGTGATAATTCATTTTGTGTAGACTATTATGGGAGTAGCTGGCAGGTCTTTTTTCTTTGCCTGTTTTTTTTTTTTTTTTTTTTTTTTTCCGCATTAGCCCGGGCCTGCCTGCTGCAGCAATGGACTTGTGGGGTTTAGACTGCCTGGTATGTGGCTGTGTCTTGTTGGTACATCATCATTCCTCT